CGTGCCTTTCGGCTTTGGACGAACTTTCGGCTTTACATCTCTTGCGTCTAATTCTCTTCTTACGTGTCTACCTCCTCTCTTTTCCACTCTATTCTATCGCACTATCTTGCTCGTTCTACCTCTAAAAACTAAAAATTAGGAACTATAAATTAGCAACTAATGACTAAAAACTACTGCCACTTTGGTCCTTAGCCTCCTTGTTGTGCCTCCTCCTTGTCGTTTGCCCTTCTCTTCTCTATTATCGCTCTCAGTTCTGCTAAACCTTCTCCGGTCTCGTTCAGCGTTTTTCCTATGTCCTTTGGTCCTCCCGTTATTTCACATTCTTCTATTACGCGTCTTAGGTCTTCTTTTCTCATTCTGCATAGTCTGCATCTTTTTTCCCTCTCTTCTTTCCAGTATTCCTTCGCTTTAGTCTCGTTTCCGCATCCGAATCTTGTCAGTATTCTTCCACTTCATCTTCCCTTCTAAGTACTTTGGTAATTTCTCTTTGGCTATGTTTCTGTAGTGTATGTTGTACTTGGATTCCCTTATCCTTTTCCCCCTCTTTTCTTCTTTTTTCTATAATTTGGTCCACTGTCGTCCTTTCTTGCTCCTCTCCTGTTTCTATCTGCCTCTTTTGTTCTTTTCTCACCTCTTCTAGTCCCTTTCTCTTTCTCTTTCTTGCTCTTTTCCCTTCCTGACCATTTCCCCATTCTCTCTCTCTCTCTCTTTCTCTCCTTTATGCACTCCTTTACTAATTCCTTTTTTGATTCTAGGGCTTCCTCTTCGTACCTCGCTGCTCTTTTTAGCGCTTTTTCTTTCATTTCTATCAATTTGCATTTCTCTACCAGTATATAGCTTGGTGTTGATCTCGCTTCTAAATTCCTCATAGTTAGTCCTCGGACTGTCAGTTACGTGCAAAGCAATATAATCAACAACCCGAAGACTAACCACGATAAACGCAGAAAATGATCGTAGAAGTCCTAAATCAGTCGTTCTGTTTCGAATCGCTGGAAATTCTACGAGCTTCGAGTGTTCGCAGGATCGCAATTTCCTCTTACCCTCTGGTATTTCGTGCCGATCCTGACTATACTTATTTTCATTATATCTCTTATTCTTATATCCCTTATTCTCATATCCCTTATTCTTATATCCCTCATTCATCGTTTAACCCCCCGCTGTTCGATCGCCTCTCGACTCCTCCATGTTCCTCGACTATCTTTTTCCTTGTCCATTCTCGTCCAATATTCCTTTCACCCTCTCTTTCACCCCTGTCGCGTGTACCGCCTTCTCTCGCGCCCCTTTTCAACACGTGTGCCAGAATTCCGACTCATAACAGCACCGTACTCTACGCAATTTTTCCTGCCCCTTCATCCTCGTACTCTCGCTCGTTCTAAATCTCAACATTCCACTCCACCTGTTTTGAATAATCGACGATACAAGTGTTACGATACTAGATAGACGTTACACGATGTGAAATATTGCATCAGTAGACGCTGTACGATACCGAAAGAAGATCGAAGAAAGTAAATCGTAAAAGACAAAAGATCGCTTTACCTCCGAATGATTCAGCGCGATTAATTTGTGGCGGATCGGTACCAACAGGACGCCGACAGGTCGAGGAGGCATCGACGCGGTCGTAACACCTCCCGAGCGATCCGCGGGTACCAACCGCCAACACCAGAGGGCTACTACGACGACCACGAGTCTGTCTGTCTCGCTAGCGGTCGAATATACGGTGTCACGATACAAATACCGCACCTAGCGAGACTTCCTCTACTTCTAAGGCAGGAACTATCGGGTATGTCATAGACTGTCACATCCTAAAGCTAATAAGAAAGCACTTCGCTCAAGCGGCAAAAATAAAAGAAAACAGCTTAATCTTCGGTTGCCTATTTCCTAACAACGCATATTACAAAAACGCTCTGACAACAGGCCACACATCCCCCCCAGAAGCTTTCCTATACCTAGACGAAAAAAACTACCTCCAGGACCAAAACGATATTCCAATAATTTATCACTTAAAAAGAAAAATAGGTTACAAAATCATACTCTACGAAGAAAACATAAATGGACAGACCGCAGACACCGGATGGAGATACAACATGTGGCCCTCTCCCGCAAAGACACCAAAGACAAACACAGAAAAAACACAATAAAATATTGGTGGATACAGAATCCGCATAACACAGGTAAACTGTAAATATTTGTAAATAAACCTATTTGACATCCCCCTCCCCCGCCCCCTCCCTCTCATCCCACTCCTCCCCAAAATTACACAGCACCCAAAAAGTAGACTACCAAAGCGTCCTGTTTTGCGACCAACTGCGACCAACTTTTCAGGATAGAAAAAATAAAAAAAAAAAAACAAAACAAAATCATATAAAAGCCCCGTTCCCCAGCGGCTTAGACCCAAAAATTGTATTAAACGCAAAAAATGTAAAGCGCCGACACATAATATAGTATGGCTACGACGTCGTACCGCCGCGTATCGGTACCTTTGTCTAACACGTCGTTACCAAAATTCACAGCTTATTGCGAATACCAAAATGTATTTAAAATTGTATCTTGGGTTAAATAAACGTCATTAAAAAAAAAAAAAAGGACTACCGGGTATAGCCTTACCGACGAGTCCATCGGTAGTCCCGGGACGAAACGCGAACTCTCTTTTCACCTGGCAGCAACTACGCTTCCTACGAATTATTTTCTGCCTCAAAGTAACGAGCAGAAAAATTTGCTTCGCTTGATAACGTTTACTTCTCTGTCAGCCAAATATTTTCAAGTATTCTCGATTAATCGCACGGCTTTGTACTCGTCAATTTCTTCGAAACGTTATTCCATGAAATCATAATTTATTTCTCGTTCTGTTTCGTATCTCTTGTCAACCGAGAGTATCCAGAGTATCGAAGATCGATAGTTGCGAAATACACGTTCGGGTCAAATTGTTGGCAATATCGTGCCGTTTGAACAGGAACTAAGTGGCATTGAGCCAAAGCTAAAGAATTCGATTCATAGACGAACGAACATCAACGTTTCGACGATCCAGTCATCTTTCGTTAAACTACTCCTTTCATCTTGATGCTTACGTAACGTTATTCACGATTAATCATCGAAATGGAAAACGAAGAAGAGAAAGATGATCGATTAAAGAAGATCGTTTCGACGGAACTATCGATCGCGTTGTTACAAAAATCGGAATATTTTCGAATTATGGATCGCAGAGTTAACTCGAAACGCGTTATCGTGGCTTTTGTTAGCAAAGCCAGTTTTCAACGGAGGAAGACAGCGCATTATGTAAATCCACTTCCTCGTAATTAATTGTCGTAATTGTCTTATCGATAAAATATTGGAACGATAACTCGTCTCTGTGAATTACGATTAATAGCAGAACGAGACGTTACAGCGTATGTGTCATATTCTGAGATTATCAACATAGCATAGGACATTCTTTCCACGTATTCGAATATTACGACTGTAACGTTACAGTAGAATTACGCCATAGAGAATTAATCTACAATTATGGGAAAAAGTGCCACGATATATAGTATACCGTAATATACCATAAAAAAAAGAAAGCATAAAATAGTGTAAAAAAAAAAGCGTGAGAAAGGGGTAACTTACAAAGAAGTATTATTTATAAATAAACTTATTGGGAATGAACTGAGAGTATGGGTATATGAATTTTATGAAACGTGTACGGAGCATCTTGTCGACATCTTTTATGACCGCACGGTATCGGTGGAATAAAAGTTGACAGTAATTTTTCAACATTCTGCTAACTATTTTGTTATTTATTTTTATATTATTTATTTTTTAATCGATCGTCTACAGTTGTACTGTCCACTATGATAATTTATTTATTATTTATTTAGTAACTCGATGGAAATTGTAGGTGAAGTTTCGTTATTTTTGGGAAACCTCCATTCCTATTATAGATTTTTATGATTTTAACGTTGGATTACAATTTTCTAAATGATGTTTTTACGATAGAAGACTGGTTAATAAGTATCAGAGCGTTATTTGATTCGAGCGTTATTAAAAATTTATAGAACAGGCAGATCGTAGGCTGCACAACGATCGATCTTCGTTTATTCTAGATATTAAAAGAACATGGAACGATATCGTTTTAATTGTGTTGAAAATTTGTATAAAATTCTCGGATAACTCCTGCCAACGACAGTAAAAATTCACCGTAATCAATCGAAAGATTAATTTTGTATCGAGGGGATATAAAAATAGAGAAGATATAAAATATAAAAACCACAATTACACGCTCGAAAACGTTTCAACAACTTGGCTGTTTGTATTAAAAAAAAAAAAAAGAAAAAATTTGTCCACGTATCAGCGATCGTAAAAATATTAAACGATTCTACGTATAATACCAAATGGCTACTCGGATAACATTTTCTCTCGAGGAATCGTTGACTGGACAAAAAGCAAAATGCGTCTGATTTCGTTCGAACTGATTCTAATTTTAACGCGTTATTTCTTTCTTGTAGAAACGTCCAAATGGAAAGAAGCCGAAACAAAGGTAAATGTATCCTTTAAAGATCGATCGTAGTATTACCTTTTACAATAGAAATTTCATTTTTTCAGTAATTTGTAACGTCAGATCTGGAAGATGATCTACCCGACGACTCATCCTCGTTGAAAAAATATTCTCAAGAAATTTCTGTCGATACGTCGATCTACGATAACGTGGATACCGCGATTCTACCACCAATATACCAACATACTGATGACGACGAATACCGATACAACGTATAATACCAAATGGCTACTCGGATAACATTTTCTCTCGAGGAATCGTTGACTGGACGAAACGCAAAATGCGTCTGATTTCGTTCGAACTGATTCTAATTTTAACGCGTTATTTCTTTCTTGTAGAAGCGTCCGAATGGAAAGAAGCCGAAACAAAGGTAAACGTATCGATCGTGGTATCACCTTTTACGACAGAAATTTCATTTTTTCAGTAATTTGTAACGTCAAACGAAAAAATATTCTCAAGAAACTTCCGTCGATACCGCGATTCTACCACCAATATACCAACATACCGATGACGACGAATACCGATACAACGTATACATTGGTATCGCTTAGGCTACACCAGCATCTCCACGCAAATTTACATCTTTGCCGATGTAAATAAATAAAACGGATCGACGCCTGTCGTATCGAGCGTTGTACGCCTCTGTCCGCTGAAACGTAATCGAATGTTTGCAAAATAACGGTCGGCGCGGCTCGTGCCTCGAGATTCGCCTGAAAAGTTCGCAGGAGAATCGAGAAACGGAAGGATGCAATACGCACTCTCCCTGTTATCGACCATATCAAGAGTATAGCGAGAATCAAGGGAGAACGAACGATGGCGAGCAACACCGAGTCCAGCCGAGGGGTGA